AAAAAAAAAAAAAAAAAAATCTTGATGCTTTCTACCAGGTCAGGCTCTCTCTGGCCATGGCCTGTGCCCCTTTACTTAGCTAACTCTGCACATCCCTCAGCTCTCCATCATTGCCTCCTAGGACCAGCCTTCCCTGACCAAAGTCCGGATCAGATCCTTTGCTTATTTGTGTCCATCCATACCGCTCTTATTGGGAGCTCTGGTAGCCTCGTGCCTAAGGCACTTGACTGCTAACAAGAAGGCTGGCGGTTCAAACCCATCAGCCACTCCTCAGAAGGAAGAGGGGGCAATCTACTTCCATAGTGATACTGCCTCGGAAACCCAGGAGGGGTCACTATGAGTGGGGTCCGACTCCACGGCATATAACAACACTACTATCACTTTTATTACCTGTCATAGATAAAATTTTCCATTTACAATTACTTCACTAATGTCTGCCCCCCCCCGCCCCCCCCGCAGGCAACATTTCATTACAGCAGGACTCTAAGTTTGCTCTCATTGCAGATTCAGGACCTAGCACACTGCATGGCAGGAATTCATTGGTTAGCTGAGTGGATGGATGACTTGCTCCAGGCACACCACAAGCTGGGTGAGATGTTGAGACCATTGAGAATGGATCAAAGACGGACCCCATTATTGAGAGTGATATGAGGCCAAGACCCCTGAAGTCGTCCAGGGTAAGGCGGTGCTGGGCATGAAGGACACAGTGTAGTTCTGGCTGTCACGTGGCTGCCCAACTGGGAGGGGGGAGCCCCACGCACACCTCAGTTTCTCCGTGGCTCCCAGCGAGGTGGTCAGCAAACCCGCCCCTGCGGCATGTGGCATGTGGCGCCGCGAGCTGCGGAGCTCTGAGAGGCCGAGCTCGTCCGGCTGATTCGGCCCTTGGGCCCGCCACTCCCCGCGAGGGCGCTCTAGGGCAGTCCTCCAGAGCAGTCGTGCACCTCTGGGACCTTTCTAGCCGTCGCGCGGTGGTGCGGTGCGTGTCGGGAAAGCGGCGGAGTGGTGGGGCCCGGTGGCGGCGGGCGCCATGGTTGGTGGCGAGGCAGCTGCCGCGGTGGAGGAACTGGTTTCGGGGGTGCGGCAGGCCGCCGACTTCGCGGAGCAGTTCCGCTCCTATTCGGAAAGCGAGAAGCAATGGAAAGCCCGGATGGAGTTCATCCTGCGCCACTTGCCCGACTTCCGCGACCCGCCCGACGGCGGCGGCCGCCTGGACCAGCTGCTGTCTCTCTCCATGGTTTGGGCTAACCACCTCTTCTTGGGCTGCAGGTGCGGACCCTTGCCCCCGGGCTGGCGCCTCCCTTGCCCTCCGACCCACAGCGTTCCTCGAGGGCTGTGTCTTCAATCCATCCTTTGCCCCAGGCTGAACTCTCTCCCAGCCCCCAACCGCCTTGGCCTGGCCTGTAGCTGCTTCCCATCCTGTCGGTTCCTTGACAGATATTTAACTTCTCTGAGCCGCAGTTTCCTCATTTGAAAAATGCGTCGTTGTTATGACTACAGTACTAAAGGCTGAAAAGCACTTAGCACAGGGCTGCCATCTAGCAAGGGCTCAAATACATGGTAGGCGCTGAAGTTGCCATTGTTGTTTTTACTTTTACTATTATCAGCTCAAACTGTCACCTTTAGGAGTGCGTTTTAAGCCTGTTAGCTCCTTTAACCTCCATGGTAATCATACGGAGACAGATACCAAGACCCTTATTTTACAGATGACGAAGTTGAATGAGGAGGGAAAGTGATAGGTTTAGGGTCATACAACTTCTGGCAGAATGGGTGGATTTTACCACTTCTGGTGAGAAGTAATCTGTGTGCCTGGACTGTTTCTTCTTAATCCCCAACTGCTGAGTCCTGAGGAGCCAACCTTGCCTGTCTGCTCTCCCTCTTATGAACTTGTCTTTTTGGCAAGGTCCAAAGCCCACCTGGCTACTTTACCGAGAGGGCAAGGGCAAGGGCCTGCTGTTGAAGTGCCTCATAAGGCACCCCTTATGGGCCACCTAAAGGAGCCCTGGTGGCACAATGATTAAGTGTTTGGCTGCTAACCAAAAAGCTAAATCCACCAGCTGATCCAGGAGGCAAAAGATGTGTCAGTCAGCTTCTGTAAAGATTTACAGCTTTGGAAACCCTGTGGGCAGTTCTACTCTGTCCTGTAGGGTTGCTGTGAGTCAGAATCAAGTTGATAGCAGTGGGTTGATTTTATACCCCACCAGGGAGTCATGGCCCAGTGGTTAAAAGCTTAGACTGAAAAGTTGGCGGTTCAAACTCGCCAGCCACTGTGTTGGAGAAAGATGTGGCAGTCTGCTTCCATAAAGATTGCAGCCTTAGAAACCCCATGGGGCATTTGTACTTTGTCTTATAGAGATGCTGTGAATTGGAATCGACTAGACAGCAATGGTAGCATAGTGGCTAAGGCACTTGACTGCTAACCAGAAGGCTGGCGGTTCAAACCCACCAGCCACTCCTCGGAAGGAAGG